CTAAATCCTATCCAATCAATCTCAATTATTCATTCGGTTTTCATTGATATAGACAATGCATACTCAACCAGTCAACTCCAAAATCAAATCCAAATCTAACATTCCAAACCAAATTATAATATTAAAGGCCTAGGTCCTAAGCCCTTTTTGGGTGAATTTTCTGTTAGCTAGAAACCTAGTCAAATGACTTATTATTTGGGGTCTATCAAGCGTACTTTTCTTAGATATGACTCTAAGATCAACCCCCCAAAATTTGAAGCTATTCTGAGGTTCCTAGCCATTGAAACTGGATTGATTCCCAAAGGCTGCAAAACCTTTAAATATTTACATCCTATGCACCTAGACTTGCTATCCAGTGAGGTTTGACTTTGGGACTCTTTCCAAACCCTCCAACAAAACTCATGAACTTTTTATGACCTTTTAATCAATAAACTATACTTTATTGGACCCAGTTTGACCCAAGGTTGACTAATGGTCAAAATGTTTAAAATACCCTTTAAAGGGGTTTTTGGTCTTTTCCTAAAAACTCAACATGGTCTTCCCATATAAATATTTAAAATCTATCCCAATGGATCGTAAATATCATATGGAACATAACGGATGCAAACCCAAACTTTAGTTTGACCTAGTTGACCAAGTCAACCATGGTTGACCAAAGTGGCCCTTAAGAGTTAAAACATCCATTTTGAAGCAAATGAGCTCTCCTTGACTTGAAACCACCTCCATTAAGTTCATATGATCAATTTGAACTCATCAGACCAAACCCTTGACCCTAGGCCATCTTGGTTAACCAAGTTTGATCAAACCACCCACACAACATTTTTAAACGTTTTGACCAAGTCCTTTCCAAACCCATTCAAACCTATGCGGTGACCCATTGGGCTCTCAAGATATCCTTTGTAAAGCCCCTAGCTTTGGGCCGACTTGTCTTAGCCATTTGGGTTGACACAAGTGTCCAAAGTGAGGTTTCCATTGAGCCAAATTCCAACCCATAGTCTTATTGGATCAAACCAATGGTGGAATTAGGTTTCCCTTTACACAATACACCTTCCCTTGCTAACCCAACCCTAGGATCAACATAGGTTGGTAATTAGTCTAACCCAAACTGGCTAAAATTACCTTGGGTTGAGCTAATTCTCAACCTAGGTCCATCTGGTATAACCTGGGTTGCACGCAAATAGATCCAAACTATACAAGTTTAGGTCAACTTGAGCCACTTAATCAAATTGGGCTATCTACTACCTAATTAAGCTAAATATTGAGCTCGCCACATCCTGATGCCTTTTTAGCTCAACTCGAGCCAGCCCCTGGCAGGCGGAGGCCAGAGTACATGAGAAATTAGCTTCGGTGGTCCCCCCATTCTTAAGCTATACTCGAAGGCTTCCAGATCCTAACTTCACTAGGCTTGAGCTCAAGAGGATCTAGAATGATGTCCCCATAAACTTGGAATCCATCCAACTGTCCGCTAATGTCATTAGATCCTTCTATGTCCGCGTGAGCCATTTAAATAGGGCTCCCTCATCCAAACATCCCCATTCAATTATAATATTTTGAAAAGGTTCCCTAATGCTCCCTGAGAAATCCTATAACATCTTCTAGCTTCCTAGCCCCTTCTAGCCTCGGTCCCAAGTGAACTCCAGAGAAATCTCTCTACCCTTTGCTCAAAGTCATACCTGCGTCCATCCACCAATCCTGTTTTCTGAAGGAGACCTGTTCTCCCTCATTCATTAAAGATTATTTGATAGAAAAACCTAATCGTTGGGCTTTCTACATGGTTAAAATCCTTTCTTGAGCTCCTATCTAGGTAGTGGTGGTCAAGTGTAAAGAAAACTATCAACCAACCAAAATCAAGCTATTGGATTAATGATTTATGTTATCCTGATCCTTCACATGTATTTTGGTTGAGATCTACTAGTGGGATTTCCTGGAACATGTCAGAAATACACAATTGTCTCAAGCTCCTTCGGAAGGTTGAATACATAATCCAAGCCGTAGATCTCCATCGACCGCTCAAATTTTGTGCTATAGCTCCAGAGATTATAAAGATGATATAGCTTTTGCATTTTTTTTTTTTCAATTGTAGAATGGAACATTGATAAATTAGAGCAATATTTTGTTGAAAGAAATGCATCAAATATCATTAAAACCAAAAAGGGAAACTAAGTACAAGTAATGAAAGGATCACATTCCTCCTTGATTAAGCCTAACAACAAAGGAGGAATGCAATCAAAAGAAAAGCTATCAAAGAAGAAACTGCTCTCCAATGCCATAGTTGCACAACAATTTTCTACTTTATTACAACTTCTATAAGCATGGAGGAGAACAACTTTATTGAAATCATTCAAAAAACATAAATTCTTGTGCGGCCACTTCTCCACATTCTCCGTATTCTTCTTTAAAAAATTATGAATGAATTTGATAATATTGATATTATCACTTTCTATTATTAGCCCTTTGCATTCCAACTTCCAGGTCTTCAAAAATTCCTTAACCGTGAGCACTGCTTCTAGCTCAAGATAACCAATATCCCAATGAGTTCCATTCTTTATAAAGGCACTAATAAAACATCCTTTGTAGTCACGGAAAATTCCTCCAATACCAGACAAATTAGAGCTTGTCAAAGATGCATCTACATTAACCTTAATCCATTCTTTCGGTGGAGGGTACCAAGTTCTTTTAGACTCCCTAAGGAGATTAGTACCCCAACTAGAGAGAAATAGACCAGATTTGGAGACTTCAAAAAATAGAGCATTAGCAGCTACAATGGAGCATGACATAGCAGCCTTACCATGCTTAATGTCATTTCGGTTCTTCCAAGAGTATACAATAGAGCAGTACACCCGAACAATCCCGAAATTCTGTGCAGACATCTTCTTTAAGTCCTTCAAATAGCAGTGCAGTGAATGGAAAACAGGAATAAAAATACCCCACTCCTGCATCTTCATAATGATTTCAATCAGATACTTGCAATGCACCATAATGTGCTCATAAGTTTCATTAACTTGGCAACCTCTAACACAAAGAGTATTATATGAAATTATGCGGTTCACGAGAAACATATTAGTTGGAATAGCTGATTTGCCTAGTCTCCACCAGAAAATTTCAATTTTCTTATTCATCTTCAAATTCTTCATCCAGCTGAAGTATTCCACATCCTCCAAATTGCATTTGTTCAGCCACATTTGTTCATATACCATGGAAGGCACAGTCTTACCCGAAGACATCTTCATCAACTCCATCTTGTCCTCCTCACCATGCTCAATTGGAACTTGAGTAATTAAAGAAATAAGGTGTGAGTGAAATGCTCTATGTAACAATTCAGAATCCCACATGCCATTAGGTAATATCAATTACTGCACATTCATACCATCCAGGAAATTACAATCCACAAAAGTAGGCCAACGATTAATACACCTATCAAGCAACCAAGTGTCATTTAAAATATTGATTTTATCTCCTATACCCACCTTCCAACGAACCGCCATCTTCATATTATTCCCCCCATCCAACAGAATTTTCCAGGCATTTGAACTGATGTTCCTTTGAGTTCCCTTCATTACATTATCACCATACTTACTCTTCATAACATGATGAAGCAAAGAATAAGGCTTATGAATATAATTCCATGTCACTTTGGATCTTAAAGACCCAATACTATGTAGAGGAGAATGCAATCCCAATCCTCCCAAACACCTCCGTTTGCAAATATCACTCCAAGCAATATAATGCATTCCCTTAGTTCCATCTTTATTGTTCCAAATAAAGCTTCTATACAATTTTTCCAAATCATGTAATAACCTCATAGGTACCAAAGAATGGGTAATTAAAAAATTTGTCATAGAAAGCAAAGAACTTTCTATGAGAATCAGTTTACCTCCCAAGGATAAAGATTTCATATTCCAAGCATTAAGTCTTTCCATGGCATTGCTTAGAATCTCTTGATTGTCAGCCATTCTAATTCTTTCAAGTGAAATCTTCACTCCCAAGTATTTCATTTCCATCACTATCTTGAAGCCAAGAGTTCTGCCAATCTTCTTCCTCATACGATAGCTGACCACCTTCCCAAACAGCAACTGAGATTTACTAACATTAATTTTTTGCCCATTCCATTTACAAAATTTCTCCAGAATGGTCTTCATAGATTTAGCAAGCTAAACAGATGCATGAGAAAAAATGACAGCGTCATCTGCATAAAGCAAATGAGTAATCTTCAGTCCTCTACTTGAAATTTGAATGCCAAGACTCTTCCCCCTTTGCTCTATTGAATTAGTAATCAATTGGAAACACATGATGAATAAGTATGGTGAAAGTGGACATCCCTGATGGAATCCATTTTGGGCATTAATCCATTCAGAATTCTTCCCGTTGATAATAACGAAAAATCTCACATCTACAACACATTCCAAGAGAAGGTTAGAGAAAACAGTAGGAAAACCAAACCTACTTAAAATATGCCGAAGAGTTGTCCATCCCATGCTATCATAAGCTTGCTCCATGTCAAGATTTACAGCCATCAGTCCCTTCTTGTTCTTTGAGATTTTGAACTTGTGAAAAATCTCCTGAGCTAACAAACAATGTTCAGCAATGGACCTTCCATGGATGAAGGCAACTTGTTCTTCGAAAATCATCTTAGAAATGCCCTTCTTCAATCTGTTAACAGGCATAGTAGCCACTATCTTAAAATTGATTTGACATAGGCTTATGGGCCTATAATTTGAAGGAGTCAATGGATTCTTAATTTTAGGAATTAAGACAATCAAGGTGTCTTTGCATTCCTTATTCATATGGCTGGAATTAAAGAAACTTCTTACAGCATTCCATAGAGTTTCCCATATAATGTTCCAATAACTCTTGTAGAAGGAGGAGGTGATGCCATCCAAACCTGGAGACTTATTGTTCCCTTGCTGAAACACCGAAATCTGTAGCTCATTCTCAGTAAATTCAGTATTTAACAATTCCATATCTTCAACAATTAATTTTGGATTTTCCATAACTGAAGGCTAGCCCGTTAATTCACACTCCCTATACTTCCATTTCTTCTCAAAGAAATTAATGAAGACATTCTCAATTTGATCCTGCTCCTCTTGCAACTTGTTTGCTTCATCTTTAATTTGGAAAATACGATTCCCATTCCTTCTAGCCGTGGCAAAACTATGAAAAAGCTTGGAGTTTGCATCACCTTCCTCATGCCACCTAGCCTTAGCTCTTTGGTTCCACCAAGTAGAAAGTCTTCTCAAAGTAACATTGAGTTCATGTATTTTGCTTCTAAGCTCAAAAATGTCATCAGCAGACCAATTACAATTCAAAGCTTCCTTATTATGCAAATCAAGGATCTCCTTCTTCAATTTTTCTTTTAAAACATTGAAGTCCTTGCATTTGTTTTTACTCAAGAAAAGTAAAGCTTTCAAAGTACGATTAAGCTTCTTTTGTAAAATTGTGTACTCATCACCAACATCATTCTTCTTCCAAGAATGATAAACAATGCTCTTAGCCGCAAGATAAGATCTCCATGTATCTTCAAACCTAATAGTTCTCGACTTAAGCCGCACCATTTCATCCATCTTAATCACAATAGGACAATGGTCAGACGCCATCCTCGCTAAATGTCTGTTCACTACAAAAGGAAGCTTCTGCATAGCCACCGAATTCAGTATACATCTGTCCAACCTTTCCCATATCCGAGAAGTGCTCTCTTTGTTGTTACACCACGTGAATCTTGGCCCAACACTACCAATATCATGAAAATATGAATTCCCCATGAAGCTCTTCATTTCTCTAGGTCCTTCAGAAAATAAGAACCTCTTACCTCCTCTCTTCTCATCCTTATTTAAATTGCAATTAAAGTCCCCCCCTATAATAGAAGGAGTAGAATTCTCCATGCTCTTTTCCAACTGATTCCAAAGACAACTCCTCTCCTTGTAACAACGACTCCCATAAACAGTAGCAATCTTCCACATTCCCAAGCTAGGAACAGAGAGATTACTAATAATCACCTATGAAGAGGCTTCACAAACCTCAAAAGACACCAACTTAATCTTCCACAATACCAAAATACCACCAGAGGTCCCAATAGCAGGTTGGTGAAAATAATCCCATTCATTCCCCATAAGACAATCAACCTCCCTTCTATCAATGCTAGACAATTTAGTCTCCATAAGCCCAATAAAGAAAACATCTTCATCTCTAACCATTTCCTTAAGATACAAGGAAGCTTCTTTCTTTCTCGTTCCCCTGTAGTTCCAAAAAAGAATTGAAGACATAATTAAAAAGGTATAGAGGATCTCCCCCCGCTGTTTGGGTTCAACCTTCCATTCCTCTTCTTCTTTTTTTGATAATCTCTATCTACAGGTCCAAATGATTTCAATTATTTGGCTAGCTTAACCTTGACACCACCACTACCAGAATTTAGTGCATTATGGCTTACCTCTGAATCCAGTGATTCCAAGCCTTTGTCTACCACTTTAACGTTACTTACAACGTTACCCACAATTTCTCCTTCCTCCTTCTCCACCAGAACAGCAAAACGATTTGTTGAATGAACACAAATCTCATTTTCAGAATCCCTAGAACTCCCCCTATTTTATCAACATTACAGTCAGTCTTTGCCTGCAGCTGGATCTCTTCAGTCTGTGTAACTTGCATATTCTCAAAAACTATATAATCTGGTTTGCTCCCGATATCCTTTACACTATTACTGTTGGTAATGTTTCTTCTAGCTCGTTTGTTCTTGAATTGGACATGAATCCAAGGACCATACTTAGTACTAACCATGGACTATTTACTGTCATGTCCAGCCAATTTGTCTTGCCCGTTGTCAGCATCCATATTCTTTAACGTTTGATCCTTCATCATTAAAGTGACATTTTCCGGACATACCTTCTTATCATGGCCTACTCTTCCGCATTGATAGCACATAAGATCATTTTTTTCATACTCCACCCGTTGGAAAAATCTCCAAGCAGAACCGTCAACCCACGTACCATTCAATAGTTTTTTCTCCAAATCAATTCTTACACAAACACAAGCAAACTCATGTTTACTCCACCGGAATGTATTCCATTCCACATACATAGGTGATCCAAAGCAAGAAGCAATTCTTGTTATGCTATCTTCATCCCAACAATATAGCTGTAGACATGGTAGTCGAATCCACACTGGTGCAGAGATACCTTTGAATGAATTCAGATCAAATGCGGAAGTCCACCTATCCATACCACCAATAAGTCTGTTAGTTTGTTAGGGATGTTAAGCCCTATGAACTTAGTCCCAAGCTAACCAAGAGGGAAGGTGAATTGGTATTTTAAAAAATTCTTTTCACAAAGAACAAAAATCACATAAACCAAAATCACACCACGAGAAAAATAAACAATACGAAAATTAAAGTGCGGAAGCAAGAAAACAATAACACAGAGATTTATAGTGGTTCGGTCAAATTAAACTACGTCAACTCCTTGGAGGCACCCTCCAAGTATTGCACTACAAACGTGACTCTCCTTTTGCCCCCACGGCTAGGAGGAGAAGCCCTCACAAAGAACCTCTTTTTGCCAACCCGGCAAGGCAGAGAACCTATCTCCTTTTACTTCCTCCTGAAGCTGGCAGAGAACCACAACTAGATGCTGACTCCTTACCTCTACCGACCCTTCCACGGACGAGAAACTCTAGATGAAGAAGAAGCAGAGCGATCCTTGAAGCAACCCTTGTGAATCCCCTCACAAGCTCCCCCTCACAAGATCCTCTCTCTTTCCCTCTCTCTCTTTCTCTCGTCAAGGCCTTCTCAGGTCAAGGTAGCAGCCAAAGGTTGTTCAAAATGTTGAAAAAGAGCTCATAAATAGAAGAGCTTCAAAGGAGCTCATTAATTGCAAGTTGCCGACAATATCGTTCAGGCCGATATGTACATCGGCCTGGCCGATCAGTATAAAACTTAGAAGATTTGCAAGAGCATCGCCCTGAATGCAAACTTCGATGATTTAAAATTGGCTTGATCGTCCAGGCCGATCTCACGATCGTCCTGACCGATCAGTTCAAATCAGAGGAAAATCGTCCAGAGCATAACTCTGAATTCAAGCTGGCTGATATTTATCGTCCTGAAGTAACTAAGGTTTTTGAATAGATCATCCTGGCCGATCCTGTGATCGTCAAGGACAATATGATTGTATCAATCATCCTTAATTACTCCCTTGATTTCCTGATAAATTAAGGCATAATTTGTGAATATCGTCCAGGCCGATCAATGATCGTCCTGGCCGATTATTTAAAAATACAGTATACCTAAATTGTCTATGGCGGCAACTTCTATCTGTTTTGAGCTTATCATCCTGGCTGATACACGTATCGTCCAGGCCGAGCAGTTAATGACGGCTGCCTTAATTAAGAATCCATATTTAAACTTTCTGTTTTAAACCTGATCGTCCAAGACGATGTAAATATCGTCCTGGCCGATATGAGTAAAAATAGAAATTCTAATTCTCTCAAGTGTGTGTGTGTAGGGTTACTTAGCATCAATCTCTTTGACCATTACAAATAGTCTCAAAAAGAGGAAAAACAAAGTACAGACTGACTCAACCCTAAACCTACGCAATCTTGAACTGGCTTCATTTATTCATCCGATCTTCGATTCCTGAAAAGTTAGAAGCAACATGCAGTCCAAGAGAATCAATAGTGTTCGTCAATCATCAAAACATAAGTCATGAAAATAGATTTGCAATAATCTCCCACTTTTTGATGATGGCAAACACAAGTAGGAAAAACTCAGAGAAAAAAAAAAACAGTTCACTAGAAATTCAATGTTACAAGCACATACCGTTTTTCCTACCACATCCTACTCCCCCTTTTGTCATCACAAAAAGAGGGTCCTAGACACACAAATGAAAAAGTAAATAACACAACAGAAACTAAAACAAACCACAAGATAAACTACAGAAAACAGAAAATAGAAAACACGGACTAGAAAAATGAGGGACCCTGATCATCAGATGGAGGTGGTGGAGGTGGCTGCTGAAAGTAGCTTGCAAGCATAGTAAACTGAGAATTAAACTAGGCGATGTCCTGATCATGCTGCTGTTGCTGGTGAGTCATGTAGCTGTCAAATCGGGCTAAATCCTCAGTGCGATGTTGCTCGTAGCGGGCAATGTCCTAAGAATGTTGTTGCTCCTATGCAGCAACGTAAGCATCAAAGCGGGTCTCCCATCGATCAAACCTCTCAATCAACTGATCAACTGGTGAGTGCTGGTGGAGAGAAACAGGATCAGGAACTGGAGCGGGAGTGGGGGCCTCCTCCTCCTCAGCCCCCCGAGGTTCCTCATCCCCAGGGTGTAGACGAGTACTGTGAAGGGTACTAAAGGAACTGTTTGAGTAGAAGGGAGTTGGGAGGTTAGGAGGAATAGGATACTGAAGTTGGTATTTGGTTTCAAGGACATAGGCTATGATGTGTCCTAAGGCTAGATTGGGTTTTTTCTTATGACCTGGATCGCGGATTGTGGTTAAGTGATCATTGTATCAAAAAATTAAGTCCACAGTATTAAATTCTCTACGAGCTATGATGTAGAAAGTAGTGAGGGAAAGTAGAGGGGTGTTGTGGATTTGGTCCCCGGCTTTTGGAATTATGGAGGTGCGAAGGACATGTTGAATTGTCCTAGCATCTTTGACTAAAGAGCTAGTCTCTCCAACATGAAAAGGTGCATTGGTCTGGCAAAGGAAGTGATTTTTCGTGGACCAGTCAAGGTCAGGATCTGAAGTGATTAAGTGCAGCTTATCCCCGGTGGTGGATAGCTGTAACAGTTCAACACAGTCTTGATATGTGATTTCGACAGGGCGTCGATTCACATAGGAGGGTTAATGCGAAGATTTGCAAATAATTCTCGAAGAAATTCGGTATTAAAGGGGAAAGCAAGAGATAGAATGAAACAAAGGGAAGTGTGAGCAAAAGATCCATTACCGGGTATGAGATGTGGGTAGGATTGATGATTCCGGAGACAGTTATCCCACACTCTTTGTATCGATGGTAGGCTGCCTCATCCTCTGCCTCCCAGAATCGAGGGTCCAGAGTGGCCCTTGAGGAACTCCCAGTAGCCTGTCGAACTCGTTTCCCATCGACCATAGCAAAGGATTAGCAAGGAGACGCAAGAGGAGAAGGGATTTGGTGGAAAATATGGCTGGATTGTCCAGAATTTAAAAAAAATGGCCATATCATCCAGGCCGATCGTAGAATCGTCCAGGCCGATAAGGCTCAATAATTGCGTACAGGCTGATAGGTCAAAAAGGCTGTCCGATCGTCCGGGCCGATCAGATATCGGCCAGGACAATTAGACACAGGCGATCATCCTGAGGAGGCAATCCGGACGACCTTTGAAAAAGCAGATCGTCCAGGCCGATTAGGTGTATCATCCAGGATGATGCATAATAATTGATCGTACCGGCCGAAGTTAAAATGTTTTAAATCTCTATCATGTGTATCGTCCAGGACGAACAGTGGATCGGCCAATCCGATTGTCCAATAATGGATCGTCCGGGGCCAATTTTAAGAATTTAAACATGGTGACACGTGGATCGTCCAGGACGATCCAGTGTATCGGCCAGGACGATGCACATAAAATGCATCGGCCAGGACTATCATCATGATTGCAATAGAGTTCGATCAGATTGTCCAGGACGATATGGTATCATCCAAAACGATGCGTTACTGTAAGCACAAAAAAGGTCAGCAGATGGAATTTGAAGATATTTTATCTAATCGTCCAGGACGATACATATATCGGCAAAGTCGATGTGACTAGAATTTGAAACCAAGGAAAAGATGGTGATGATCAAGGCTCTCAAAAATATAACAAAATAAAAGCAGACAAAAACACAGTAATAGAAAGCTAAAAACAACGAAAATAAAAAAAAAAAATATTTTTGTATTTTAATTTTTCTATAATTTTTTTTTATCAAGGAATCATATGAGAAGTTCTCAAATAATTATACTTTAGAGTTCCACAAGATCAAGGAGTTTAGCCAATCCTAATCAGACAAAGGTAAAATATCCGATTTTGTTAACCCTAGATCAGACATCCTTCAGGGTACAAATTTTCTTATGAAAAACAAAAGACCTAACTCAGAATACCTTAAAAGGATAAAAAGAAGATCCGTTCAAAACTTATTTACAAAAAAAATATCTCATAAATAATAAAACAAAGTAATTTGTCTCAATCATGGAATTTGAAATCAAGCCCTTGAAAGCATCAATTAATCAATGAGTTTTCTAAGCTTTAAGAGTTTAGAAAAGAGAGGATAGCTTGCATTTAGTGGGCTCTTTTTATGCCTCTTGTCACTTTGATTGGCTCTTTGAGCATCTTTTGATCTTTTTGATACACTTTTGTGTATATAGTTTTCTTTTCAAATTGGCGTCATTGGCCTCTTTTCCTTTTAATTCTAGCAAGCTAAGAAATCTTTAACAAACCCTTAAAAAAGAAATAAACTTAGTTGTGAGTATATCCTCCAAATATTAGAGAATAGGAGCTCTCTCTCTAACATAGGGAAGAACATGTCACAAAACAAAGTCATAAACATGTGATAAATGCAATGGAAAGATTTCAATTAACATGAAAGATATATAAGAACTTTGGCTATTATACATAAGATAAATTATTGTAACAAGAAAAAGGATCTTTATTTCAAAAAACCATTGGTTAAAAATGAGTTTTAGACTTTTGTTTAGAGAAGAAAATCAGACCACAAAATAAGGTCAGAAGGAGGGAAACCATCAACGATATTTCTCCCTTTAACCGATTTAG